AAAAAAAAAAAAAAAAAAAAAAAAAAAAAAGAGCTTGTGCCATCTCCTGAAGGGCACGGGTACCATGATGACTCTTCAGCAGACTTGTGTTTTGTCGTTTATTCCCACCCTCAGTTAGACTTGACATTTTTGAGAGGAGAGAGCATGTCTCCTCCTGCCCTTGATGCACCGCGGTGCCTGGCAGAGGGTTAGCACACAGAAGGGGTGAGGTGGCCTCATCTGCTAGTCCTGGGACCTGCAGGGCTCAGTGGCCTGCCCTGCCTCTGTCTCTCCCATCCAGAAGCTCCCAGATCAACACAATTCCACATCCTTAGATCCGGGGCATCTGTACCAGTGCAGCCTCCAGTGGCTATGACTTCTCAAGAGCCAAGCCTGGACTGTGAACTCTTTGGAGACTTTGACTTGTCGCTGAGTCTAGACCCTCCTGCCCAAGGCCTGGCAGCGAGTAGGTGGTCATTATTGCTGAATGGATGGGCAGATAATGGAAATTCCTCCTGTTCTCCCCACCTGCTATGTTTTCTTTTTCTTGCATTCTTTCCAAATATTTTTCATCCTTTAAGGTCAGTTTAGGTCCCACCAACAATTAGCTGCCCTAACTTTTTACAACCACACAAATGACCCTTTTCCCTAAACTACAACATAATTTAGTATTGCATCCATTCACTTATGGAGTCATATTCTTGTGTGGTTCCTTAACTGTTCTGTCCCAACCAATTGAGTATGGAGACCTGCCCAGGACCAAGTTCATAGAATTCATAACCATGTTAGACTCAAGGCTCCTGTTAGGACCTGAGCTTTACTGTACCCCCAGAATATGGCCCGTGATGTGAGTTAGCCACAGAGGCTCATTATGACCCAAGAGCATGACCCAATGTGGCTATCTAAAGTTACTGTAATAACTATAATATGTGTGTTGGGGGGTGAGTTTGCACAGGCACAATCCTCATTTACTCTCTGACACCATGACATCACCTGTAGTGCAGTGTCCAGTTTAGGGTCCTGTGCTAGGGGAGGGGCAGGCTATATCCTATTTGAGAAGGTTGCCAGGATAGGAAGGTGTCTGAGAACCACAGCCAACAAGCCTGGAACTAGAATGCATGGTCCTCAGGCCTCTGAAGGATCATCATAGGACAGAGGGCGGAGCTGAACCCACAAAGGGGAGTTTCAAAGAGGCAGATTTTTGGCTCAAGGTATCAAAAACCTTACACCAATTAAAACTATTTAAAAATAGAACCAGCTGCCCTAGGCTGGGAGAGCAGTGTGTCCTTAAAATAGTGAAGCATTAGCAAAGATCACTGTAGTGAAGACTTGCATTCAAAGAAAGGTTAACATGGCTCCTCCCAACTCAGAGGCTGTCTCTCAGCTCTATTTTATGCCCAAGAAAATGCCACCTGGCTCAGCTTGCTGCCCAAGGACAGCCCTGACTCCTTCTTGACTGCCTTTCTTAGGAAAGAGACTAGTAGGGTTGCTTGTTGGTCTTTAACTTACCAGTCAAGAGATACTGCTTCTGGCTGTTAGCTTCTAGTTGTACACCACAGAGAGAGGAGTCAAAAGGTGTATAGATATACTGAACATCCTTGACTTTCTCAAACCCTTTAAACATCTGAAAGGCAATTATTAAAAAAAAAAAAAAAGGCAGTATTGGGTCACAGAATATACTTTATATCTTAACAAAAAAAACTTATCATTTCTCAATCTAAAAACACTAGGCAAAAGTCTAGTTCAGAATTTGGTGGCCCAACTGGGTCATTTCTCTATTAAGAAAAATCTAAACCTTGGTTTATTCCAGTGAGAGTACCTCCAAGAGCCCCACGCACAGGCAGCTGTAGGACTAGATGGCCACTGAGGGTCTGTGGGCCCTGCTCCCCACATATCAACCACCCCCACTCCAGCCTCAGTACCCCAGGATCCATGAGCCAGGTCACCTGACCTACCAGCCAAACTCCCAGTACACAGACCCTACTCCTCCCAGCCGCCCAAGGGGGTTAACACCCTGTCCTGTCCCCATGTACCTTTATCTGTTTGATTTCATACCGGATCATTTTTTGAGTGTCAGCAGGGTCTGCACTGGCAGGAACTACCTTCTCACTGGAGATTTTGGCCCGAATGGCTACATAAAAAGAGAAAAGAGGGGACTTTCAGCAACCTATGGGAGCAATCCACCCGGTATCTGAATGACCTGAGGCCCCTGGAAAATTTTATAAGGGAATTCTGGGTTTAGGGCTCGTTGGGTTGTGAGTTGGACCATTTTGTGTAAGAGTGGGGGCCCAGAAACAACTCCTCTGCAGTTGCTGAAAGTTCCAGACCCCTCAGGCCCGCTGGGTCCTACAATCTCTAGAGTTTACCTGCTAGTTTTGAGAGTCTAGTTTTCCAGAGCCCAGACTGCAGTGGGTCGGAGGTGGGCACCAGGGTAGAGGAGGGAGGAGGAGCCCCTTGAGTTTGCAGTCTTCTACCTACATAGCCTGAGGCCTCAACAGAGCCTGCCCAGAGCTGACATTAGTCAATGTTTATTGAATTAATAAATATGTTCTGACCCTGCACAGTAGTTTGTCTCTTGCCATGTGGGCATTAATCAAAAACTGGTTATAAAGTTCTTCCTCTGTGCCTGGCCCAACACTAGGTGCTAGGTCCATAAACATGATTAAAGGTCCCCCATCCTGCAGGACTCTTGGTCTAATGTAGAACACTTACAAAGAACAACAGCACAGCATAGTGGGAGCACAAAAAATGTAAGAGATACTGTGGTAGCACCAAGGAGTGCAGAAGTCTTCAGAGAAGAGATACCAGAATAAGACCTTGAAGGATGAATAGAGTTTGGGGGGAATTTAAGGGTGTGGGGGAAGGGTGTTCCAGGCAGAGGGAAGAGAAAGGGCAAAAGGTGTGTGTTGAGGGTTGGGAGGGGTGGCATGGAGGCAACATCAGTTATAGGCTTGGAAACAGTGGGATGTTTATAATGAAAGCCCAATCCCCTGGCCCCTGTCTTCCCTTCCCTGCATCCAGTAGTTCAGAATAATCACTGCATAGACTCTGTGACTTGTTCTTTACTGACACTCCATAATTACAGTAGGCAGGGGTGAGTTGGTCGCTATGGGGGGTCCCTTAGACTGTCTTTCATTTCCTTGCAACTTGCAAGGTTGCTATGGTGCTGGCCCTGCCCGACCTATCAACCCCAGTGGGAGGCAACTGGTGCAGTATTTGATCTCCTCCCTCTCCCTCCAGATGACAGGTCTGCAGCTTGGCCCCATACCAACCCCACACACCCACCTCCCCTCTGTGGACCTCTCGGGCCTCGGGACTCACCAAGCGCCGAGTGGCAGACATGCTGCTGGGGGTGCGCAGGGGCGCAGCTGCAGGCCTCGCCCATCCCCGGCTGCCGCAGCAGTGCCAGCAGCCGCAGCAACAGCGCCCAGCTTGGCGCGGTCCGGGGGCTCCGGGGCATGACACTGCAAAGCCCTGTTGAGCCTGTGGGGTCTGTCGGACCAAATGGGCCCTCCAGGACTCATCCAGAACGTTGCGCCCCTCACCCCAGGCTTTTTGAAGTGGACCTAGGGCCAATCCCGCCCGGATGGGCTCCTCCCTCCTTTGGCTGTAGGCCACCCACGGCTGCGGACCCGCAGCCCTCCTGACTGGCAGGCTCAGTAAGATGAAGAGGGAAGCCAGGAGAGAGGCTCTTAGCCTCTATTTCCCTGCCTAAGCAATTAAGCCTGACAGAAGTAAAGGGAAGGCACTGGGAAAAGGGATGGTGTCAAGGCAGAAAGACAGAAAGCGCAACAAAGACAAATGCATGAGGGCAGACAGAGAGGGGCTGTGATTCAAGCTGAAGAAACAAGAGTGAGGAGAGGCACAAACAGAAAGTGAGACAGGCAGAGTCAGAGAGAGGCAGACGGAATTACAACAGGCAAAAGAGACAGTGACAGAGAGGACGGACCCCTTGCCGAGCTGCACACTGGGAATGAGACAAGCTACTCAGGGCTTCTTTCAGCTGCAGGAAGTGTTTTCAATGCCCTATTTATGAGGCTCCAAAGCAACAGCAAACAGTAATGGAATAGGACAGAGAAAGTTGGGGTGTGTGTGTGTGTTGGCTCTGTCAGCCGGGGGGGCGGGGAGAGATGTCAGAGAAAGCAGCCAGTGCTGTTAGAAACCTTTTCCCATATCCAGAGCCTCAGACTCTGCAGATGGCTGAGGACAGTGCTCTTGGTGGGGGCTCAAAGCGCAGGCTATCCCAACACTTAGGGCAAACCTGGGGCCTCAAAGTCCTCTCCAGACCATAGGCTCCACTCGTTGCTATTTTCTGTCATTACTCACCGGAGAGACTATGTCTTGTCATAGAAGGTGGGGCAGCTTAGAAAACAAAGAAGCAAGGCACATGGGGTCACTTTGACCAGAACCTTGACCACTCTCTGTGGCAGAGCACAGTGCTCCAAGTCTTCAAATGGAAGGAGATCCATGAGGTTATTGCAGATGCTTCCACAGTGCTGGACTAGAAGGTAGGAGGCTGGTTCTGATTCTATCACTAGGTAGTTTTGCAGCCTTTGCCTCTCTGGGCCTCACCTTCTTCCCTATAAAATAGGCTTGAACTTTCCAAGCTTTGCCCTAGCTTCAACTGGCCTCAGCCAGGATAACTGAAATCCTCAGGTCAGGTACTCCCAGTATCTGGTCACACTTAGGATTCCCATGGGAATCTGACTTTTCATCAGAGTCAACTTTAATTTTTTTCAAAAGACAGTTCTCATTTTGGTGTGATAGTGATGTTTGAAATGAAGGAAATTGAAGGAGAGCTGAGTCCGACTGAGAAAGATGAGATTTGGTGACCAGGTTGGTTCTTCAAACAATACCCGGACCAAGATAGAGACTGATGTATTTATTTATTATTGGTCGGACCCCAGAAAGTATCCAGTCCAGTTTCTTCATTGACAGATGTGAAGACAGAGGCTCAGTGAGGTAAAGTGACTTGCAGAAAGCCAGTAGAGAGGACTAGAATGCAAGTCTCCTGACATATGGGGGAGCACTCCACCATGGTACTTCCTCCCTCCTCGTTTCAAAACCACTTGAAATCCCGCCTTTGGAGGGTAGTTCTCCTTTTAAGTTCCTATTGTCCCTCTGTTAAAATACGGCTCCTTCAAGATAGAGTTTAAGGATATCGGTCAAACGATAAACATGTTGAATTCTTTTTTTAAATGTTTATTTATTTTTGAGAGAGAGAGAGAGAGAGAGCATGAATGGGGAAGGGCAGAGAGAGAGGGAGACCCAGAATCTGAAGCAGGCTCAGGGCTCTGAGCCATCAGCACAGAGCCGGACATGGGGCTGGAACTCAGGGCTGGAACTTGTGAACCTCGAGATCATGACCTGAGCCAAAGGCAAATGCTTAACCGACTGAGCCACTCAGGTGTCCCAAACATGTTGAATTCTTATGTCAGCTCTCTTCCGAACCCCGAATTAGGCAGAAAGAGACCTTAGCATACTAAGCTGTGTTTGATGGTGAGTTTCGGGTGTTGGTGAGCAGTTGCAGACAGTGTGAAAGAGAGGGAGAAAAGCCAGGTTCAATACAGGAAAGCTGGAAGTTTGAAGGGGGAGGGGAGGGTACTAAAAGGTACATCACAAAAGAGGTATTAAGATTCCAAAGATAGGGTTCTTGGGGCACCTGAGTGGCTCAGAGGGTTAAGGGTTAGGCTCAAGACATGATTTCACAGTTGGTGAGTTTGAGTCCCACGTTGGGTTGGGCTCTGTGCTGAAAGCTTGGAGCCTGGAGCCTGCTTTGGCTTCTGTCTCTCCCTTTCTCTTTGCCCCTCCCCTGCTCATACTCTGTCTCTCTCAAGAATAAATAAACATAAAAAAAATTTTTTAAGAACCACAAAGATACATTTTTTTTTATGTTTACATTTTTAATTTTGATAGAGTGAGCAAATGGGAAGGGGTGGAGAGAGAGGGGGACAGAAGATCTGACGTGGGCTCTGTGCTGACAGCAGAGAGACTGATGTGGGGCTTGAACTCAGGAACCATGAGATCATGGCCTGACCTGAAGTTGGACACTTAACTAACTGAGCCACCCAGTAGCCCCAGTACATTTCTTTTTAAATTCAGGTTTATTAAGATACAACTTACATAGAGCAAAATTCACCCTTTCAAAGAGGCTTGCTTTACTTTACCTACTTACTTACTTAATTCTCTTGGCTAAGGACAGATCCTGCCCAGTTTGTCTAATGCAGAGAAGATTGAAAAAATGAATTTAAAAAATGTAGAGAGTACCGAGTAGCAGAGAGGGGCAAATCACTTTCATTCTATGGGCCTCAGTTTTTTAATTTGTAAAGCAAGTAGGTTGGGCTAGTTCTTTAAAGGGCCCTTCCAAGGATATTACCAAGAAAAATACTTGTAAGAGTCCACAGAGAGTGAGGCACACTCTGACTACTTCATTCCTTTCTCCTCTGGTTTCAGCTGACACTGCCTACGTTCCCTGTGGTGGTGAAGATTGGCCATGCTCACTCAGGCATGGGCAAGGTAAGGCCAAGGTTTGCTGCACTTTGGGGTTGAGGCCAAGAAGGGTACTTTTCAGAGAGCCTGGTTATGGACTGGTCTGCCTCCTTTCTCTATGAATTCTTTTCCAAGGAGATGATTTGGCCCCTCTGAAGCCATGAGTGTTACCCAAACAGACCTCTTCCAACAAACAGAATATAGGCTTGGGCCCTTGGGCCCTTTGTAGCAAGTGTGGCTCCTGATTTCCAGGAGGGGAGCTAGAGAGGAAGGGCCTCCTCCAGAGATGTAGCATCCAGGTCTGCTTCAGGATGGGCAACATCTCAGTGGGTTTAGGGGCTCAGGGCTCTTGTGATTCTCAGTATCTGCATTTGTGTGTCTCCTTTTCTCCCTCTCTGCCTCGCTTCAACATTAGGTCAAAGTGGAAAACCACTACGACTTCCAGGACATTGCTAGTGTGGTGGCTCTCACCCAGACATATGCCACAGCAGAGCCTTTTATTGACGCCAAGTATGACATCCGGGTCCAGAAGATAGGCAACAACTACAAGGCTTATATGTGAGTGGGGTTGGGGTCTCAGCAGATACTCTTCAATTTCTCCTCAGCCCAGCGGAAAATCTGAGCCTCCAGGTAGCAGCCAACCCTGAGTTTAACTTCAGCTGGCCCAAAAGGCAGAGAACAGAAAGAGGGTGCCATACAAGTCAGGGACTCTTAGCCCCTGTTCCTTTCACATCAGAGAAGGGCCTATGAACTAAGATAAGAAATTAAATTAATATGTATTTTCACTAACCTCTAAATGAAATTTGGCATCTCCTCGGTTATAAACCAAGACAAGAGGCTACTGTAGTCGTAAACAGCACATGTGACTTTGTCACTAAAGATAATCACAGAGATTTTTGGGTTTTGGGGGGTTTTCTCCCCAATTATTGTTTATATTCTAGTCCATTAACGTATAGTGTAATGTTGGTTTCAGGAGTAGAATTTAGTGATTCATCACTTACATATAACACCCAGTATTCACCATAACAAGTGCCTCCTTAATACCCATAACCCATGTTGCCCATCCCTCATTCACCTCCCTCCATCAGCCCGGAGTTTCTTCTCTGTTGTTAAGACTGTCCTATGATTTGCCTCCCTCTCTCTTTTTTTTTTTTTTTCCCTTCCCATATATTCATCTGTTTTGTTTCCTAAATTTCACATAGAAGTGAAGTCATATGGTATTTGTCTTTCTCTAATAGACTTATTTTGCTTAATGTAACATATTCTAGCTCCATCCATGTCATTAATTTTTAATATTTTAATTTTATTTTTGAGAGAGGGACAGAGTGTGAGTGGGATAGGGGCAGAGAGAGAGGAAGACACAGAATGTGAAGCAGGCTCCAGGCTGTGAGCTATTGACACAGAGCCTGATGCAGGGCTTGAACTCATGGACCATGACATAATGACCTGAGCTGAAGTCAGACACTTAGCCAAATGAGCCACCCAGGCACCCCGAGATTTCATTCTTTTTGATGGCTGGGTAATATTCCAGTGTGTGTGCGCGCGCGTGTGCGCACACGCACGCGCGTGCCACATCTTCTTTATCTGTCATCAGTCGATGGACATTTGAGCTCTTTCCATAGTTTGACTATTGTTGATAATGTTGCTATAAATATTGGCGTGCTTGTACCCCTTCAAATCTGTGATTTTGTATCCTTTGGGTAAATACCTAGAAGTGCAATTGCTGGGTCATAGGATAGTTCTATCTTTAACTTTTTGAGAAACTTTCATACTCTTTTCTGGAATGGCTTCGTTAGTTTTCATTCGCACCAGCAGTGTAAGAGGCTTCCCCTTTCTCTGCATCCTTGCCAACATCTTTATTTTCAGTTGCTCATTTTAGCCATTCTGAACAGGTGTGAGGTGGTATTCTCATCGTGGTTTTGATGTGTATTTCCCTGATGGTGAGTGATGTTGAGTGTCTTTTCATGTGTC